GCCATGAGACCATCATGAGCCATGAGTCCTCCTTTTCTCAGCCATGATGTCCTTTCCCCTCCCTGCCATTAACACAGACACACAAGATCACATCTTCCTTTTGGAAGTTGCCCATCACCTCTCAATGTCTTCTTTACTGCCTGCTATTCAATCGCAAGCATGATGCTTCACTTCCCCCTTCAATGTTATCCCAACCTCTCCTGACGTCACACAGAAAATGAGGGTGGGAAGGGACCTCAGGAGGTCACACTTAGTCCAACTCCTGCTCCAAGCAGGACCAGCCCCCACTAGATCATCCCAGCGAAGGCTTCATCTACCCGGGTCTTGATTTCCTACCTTTGACACAACCCTGACACTGCGCACCCTTGCCAGACCAATGCTCAAGATAGCACCTCCTTTTCCTATGGCTCACATGACATCTCATGACATTGCTTCCCTGCTGCCCAGACCCTCCAATGTTCCTTCATCCCGCAGCTCTGAGGAAGCAACATATGTCCTTGCAGCCTCTTCCCCAGCTCTGCAAGGTGGCAGAGAAGCACTGAAATGAAAGGTGCACTGCTGGGATACCAGCTGAGCCTATTCCAAGACCGTGACAATGAGCAGCAGGCTCCAGCACAAGTCCTGCACATGCAAGGCTTTGCACTCAACTGCTTCACTAGGAAGCACGCCACTGTCCTCTCCCTTCCCCGCTCCCGTCAGCCGTCCTCACCTCCCGCATTTCTCACTGCACATCAGAGCCGTAATACTTCCATTAGTTGCTTTGAACCAGAAGCAGAAAGGAAAACAAGGGGAGAAGAGATCAAACCAGCTCCGCCGTATGAGAGGGAGAGAGCACGAGGAGATGAAACAAAACCCGAGCCAAAACCACTCCGGAAACACACAGGCATAGTGCAGGGAACAGCAGAGCGCTGCCTCCACGGCTGCCGTGACCCCAGGGAGAGCCCGGGTCTGGGAGGAGAGGTTCGCGCAGTTTCTGGATGGAGTTGGCCGGTGGTTCGCCAGTGGCTCAGACCCGTCTCCATACTCCCCGAGCGTCTTCCTACCTGTGACATTGACTTCCACCAGGCCCGACCGCGTGCCGATGGTGTTGGTGGCCTCACAGATGTACGTCCCAGCCAGGCTGTGGGAGACGGGGCCTTTGAAGAAGAGCGTGTTGTTCTGGATCTCCACGTTTTCAGGCAGCGACCCGTTCAGCCTGCAGTGAGACAGCGGGGGTTGGTTCCCAGAGGTGGGGGGTTGTGGCGTGGGCTGCACCTGGGTGCGCGCCTGCGTCTCTGCGGCTTCCCAGCCTTTGGCAAAGTCACAGCTCCGCTGTGCTGATCCGAGGTGGGAATCGGGACCCTGCTCCCTCACTCCACGCAATCCCTCCTGCCCCTTCAGAGCACAAATGCCCAGACCCGGTCACCTGTGCCAGCCTCCTGCCCCGCTCTCCCCCCCACTCCGGCTTAATCCAACCTGACAAGCCATGCACTGATTTCACCAGCCTTTGGATCCGGGATCTCTGCCCGATCCCAAGCCTGGCGCTACTGCACACCCTACAGAGATCCTGCAGCTGCTCTGAGCAGGGCCCAGCCCCTGGAATCGGACATCTCACTCCAGCTCTGGTAGGAGGCTTTCTGTGCCTCAGTTTCCCCATGTGTAAAATCAGGGTGGGCCAGTCCAGGTTAGCTGACGTGCCAGCCCTGCAGGACACTGTGGGTCTGGGTTTTGGGTAGAAGGACCAGTGCTATGGCCAGCTGGGCTGGCTCGGGACTCTGGGGGCCTCACATATAGCATTGGCTGTGCCAGTGCTGGGGATACCCCTCCCCCCTGCCTGATCTGATCCACTCTGGGAGGTGGGAAAAGGTTTAGATTTTAGGGCCTGAACATGGAGAGCTGGATGGACACAGGGTCTGCCAACCCCCCCAGGAAAGGCCAGCAAGATCCCCGGACCCCTGCAGCCTGCTCAAGCTTCCCAGGGGAGTGAGCAGACCCGGCAGAGGAACGTCCTGCCCGGACGTGTGCTCCAAGCTGTCTGACCCAGGAAGTGGCGGTGCCCCATGCCTCGGTTTCCCTGCCTGTCACACAGGAGGAATACTCAGCAGGTGTGGCCTCGGAAGCGAGGAGGATGGCGGGGGTCTGTGCAGAGCCAGGGAGGCATGTCCCACCGCTCGCTGCAGCTCTCCTCCACACGCATGTGTGGGCGTGTGTGCCTTGTGGTGCTGCGGCTGCACCCTTTCCCGAGCCAGGGCTGTGCCGGCAGATGGAGGAGCTGCTCCACACGAGCTCCGGCAGATGGAGGCTTCATGCCCCAGCGGCGCCAGAAGACAACACGCAGCATCCAGCTGCACGGTGCCAGGGACTGTGGGCCTGAAGCCCTTCTCGGAGGGGCAGCTCGCTCTTCCCCGAACCGGACAATACCACCCCCCCCAACAGGCCCGGCCTTTGCTAAGTGTGGGCAGCATTTTCTGCCCCTCTCCTGACTCTGGCCCCCTCCTGCCACCCCTGCTCATCGGCTCTCCCTGTTCTCAGGGGCCTTGTCCGCTTATCTCATGATGCTGCCCAGTTAATGCCCACCCAAAACACAAGATACTGTACTGAGCTAGGTCGAAGCTGCCTGCTCTTCACCTACCTGCACCGCTCTGGTTGCAATGGAGGGGCCCTGGGGTTGCCCATCCCAGCCTGTTGTGCCTTTGGTGGCCTCCAAGAGGGCTTCCATCTGTAGGGCAGTGTTAGCACCCACCTCTGGCCCTCTGGACAACCCCTCATCCCTAAGCAGTGTGGTACCCCAGCTGACCCTAGCTCCACCTGAGACAGGCCACGTGAGCCATCACCCTCCCGCTTGCAAAGCCTGCTCCGCCCAAGACCTCGCATGCTAGCATGGCCTGCAGCTGCCCCGGAGGCAGGATGGCGGGTACTTACAGCTTCCACTGGTAGCTGGTGGCAGGGGGGTTGGCGTCGGATTTGCACGTCAGCTTCACGTCCTTGCGGTTCAAGAACCAGTTGCCATCAAAGCCCTCAATGGTGACCTCTGGCTCATCTGTGAGGAGGGAGAGCGGAGCGGGGCAGAGCAGAGGACAGTGGTTATTCGAGGGGACTGCTGGCTTCCCGTCCCAGAGGACTGGAGCAGCACCTGTTCTTCCCACTCTTTGAATCATAGAATCGGAAAATAAGGGTGCAAAGGCACCTCAGGAGGTCACATCTAGTCCAACCCTCTGTTCAAAGCAGGGCCAGCCCCAAATAGATCATCCCAGCCAGGTCTTAAAAACCCCCAAGGATGGAGACTCCACCACCTCTCTGGGTCACCTGTTCCAATGTTTTACTACCCTCCTCGTGAGGAAGTTCTTCCTAACATCTAACCTCAACTTCCCTTGCTGCAGCTTGAGCCCATTGCACCTTGGTCTGTCATCTGCCACCACTGAGAACAGCCCAGCTCCATCCTTTTTTGGAGTTGAAAGCTGGTACCACTCCCGCCCCTCCAGGTTGGTGGATCCAGGCCCTACAGTCTCGCGGCCCTCCCCACCCTGGTGCTCACACTGTACGTTGAGGGTGATGCTGTCGGTGAAGCGGTCCGCCCGGTAGTTGACGATGCACATGAGCTGCTGGCGATGGGCCTCGCGGCTGGGCACGAGGCGGTACCGGCTGATCACCGTGACGGTGCCGTTGGTGTTGTGGATCTCCTGGAACTCGGCTGCTCCCTTGAGCGTGGTGTCCCAGGTCACACTGCTGGACGGCTTCCCATTGGAGGAGGTGCAGGTGGCCACCAGGATCTTCTCCGTCATGCCGACCCGGGCAATGAGGGGCCGTGTGGTACCTTCCATCCAGTTGTTGGGCTTGGCTGCAGAGAGGCAGGAAGGAGAAGAGGGAACAACGAGGTGGTGAGAGATGTCCCCTGCCTGGCCCCACCCCTGGCCGACCTTCCCACCTGCAGTAACCTTGCAGGATGTCACCTTTGACGGGTGAGCACAAGCTGGAGGGTGCGCTCCAAATCCACACCTTTAAGTTGGAGCAAGGAGACCCCCTTGGAGGCAGCTTTCATAGTTTCTAGGGTTGGAAGGGACCTGAGTAGATCATCTAGTCTGACCCCCTGCCCCACAAAGGCAACTCCCTTTGTGGGACCCCACAAAGGCAACTCCCCCCAACACCAGCCTGGTCTGGAGAGCACCACCTCACGCTTTGTGTGTCCCCAGAGTCTTTCAAAATGCAAATCTCCAGGCAAATCCTGCCTGGCCTCACCCATGAAAAATAGGTCAGGGCTGTCATCCTGATGTTATAGATTGGACAGCCAAAGCTTGGAGAGGGGAAGCGACTCATGTCAAGGGACTGCCATGCGTGGGTGAGAGAGCCCAGGCGTCCTGAGTCCCACCAGCAGCAGGGGCACCTTTCAGGGGCTGGACTGCAGAGAAGCAGCTCGAGGGGTAGGATTTAAAGCCAGGATCCCCGCACCCCATGGGCTCTGAGGGCACCGGGTCGAGGGTAGTGACCAGGGCCCTGCACCCCATCCACACCATACCCAGCACGGTGAGGTTGAGCTGGCTTTCTCGGTTGCCGGTGGGGAAGGTGGCGAACTCGCAGATGTAGACGCCTTCATCGTCCAGCTGCAGCCGGAACAGCTGGATGGTGCCATCCTGGAAGGAGGGGTTCAGGAATTTGACACGGCCCTTGTAGGGAGAGAGGATGGAGACGCCCATGGCGGGGTTATAGATGGCCACGTTCTGCTTGGAGCCGTTGGTGGCTTTCTGCCACGTCACCTGCGTGATCTTCACGTTGGGCAGCGGGTTGGTGAAGCTGCAGTGCAGGACCACGTCCGTCCCGATGAAGCCCGAGACGGTGTCATTGACCAGGACAGTCTGAGCTTGCAGCCCTGCAAGGATGCAGAGGGGTGGGTAAGGGGAGGCGATACGGAGGCACTAACACATCCAGCTCCCACCCCAGGCCAGCAACTCCCCCACAGCCCCCCTGACCTACAGGTGCCCCATACATCTAGTAGGTTGTTAGGAAGTAGATGCATGCAGCCCATTCCCTCTGCAGGATGGAGCCCCTGGAGTAACGGTGCTATTTATGCCAGGGCTGACTGGGCTCTTGGCATCTCCTACAAGGGCCTGGTAGTGGGGGTGACAGCAGCTTCTCCCAGTCCCACTGCTGGGTGTAGGGCAAACTCCACCCCATCCACCATAGCCAGCTGTAATCCAACCCTCCCCTCCACAGCCGCCCAGGACACTCCCAGCAGCCATCCAATGCGGGCTAGCATCCGAGGGGCACTCTGAGCCCCTCATCACCCCTGCAGGGCAGGAGGGTGCACAAAGAGCTGACGCCTCACACTTGGGAAACATCTTGGCAAATTGGAGGATTGGACCAAAAGAAATATCAGGAGATTCAATAAAAAACAAGTGCAAAGTCCTGCTCTTAGGATGGAGCAATCCCATGCACCAGCAGCTCTGCAGGAAAGGACCTCGGGGTGACAGTGGACATGAAACTGAACATGAGCCAGCAGTGCGCCCTTGTTGCAAAGAGGGCAAAGGGCATCCTGGTAGGAGCATTGCCAGCAGATCAAGAGCAGTGATTCCTCCCCTCTATTCAGCACCAATGAGGCAACATCTGGAGTCCTGTGTTTAGTTCCCCCCCCCCC